ATACGTAGCAAGCTAATAGCTATGCTGGTGCATTCTCTTCAGTGAGCTAACATTTATTTCATTTTTGTGGTAAACGCTATTTTCTGTACATTCCTTGCCTGCCTGACTTTCCCATATAGTTTGCTGCAGAGGAAAGCGATAATGGTTTTGTTTTTTCAGTGTTTCACCATATGTTTGTCATTTTAATTTCATCTACCATAAGTTCTTCTACTATATATTAAAAATAGCCCTGTGTACATATGTTGCCCATGTGTTAGAGTTTCATATGCGCTTGTTTTTACTGTAAACCTTTGACAGAAGTAGGGAGTCGTTCAAGGTCATTTTGGAATATAGGTATCATACACTACAGTACTGACCTCAAAAATATCTTCTTGATGAGGGTAGTATTCATGAGAAGCCTTCACAGGAGGACCTTTGGCATGCTTACTGCCCTACTTTCAAATTAATCCCATGTCAGTACGACTGGTTCTGTGGATGCTTTTTATTCCTTTAGAGTATATAATTAGTTTTGATAAAACCATTCAGAATACCAAAAGTGCAGAGAGGAAAGCTGGAGGTTTTTCTTTGCAGGAAGGTATTCTATTTCTGTAATGGATCTGTTTGTAAACAGCCACCCAGCTGACCTCTGGAGTCATCCTAGGCGCTAATTTTATTGGAAATACAATTCTGTGGTGATCTAGCATGTGGTATTTATGGTCTGATTTAAATACGGTATGTATGATTTGCTGGAAACTAATTGATCCACTGTATTGTTCATTTACAGTTATTAATACGTTGTACCCTCACAGTTTCTTGGAAGGGAAGAGTAAGATCTTTTTATTCAGCACCTTAGTGTAGTTGTATGTAATGTATTCAAATGTGTACCAGTGTTAGTTCAGAAAACCAAAAACAAATGACACAGCAAGGGTAGCTGAGGCAGGTGTTGTACAAAGTTTAAAGCTATCTCTGTCAAATTTTTTCAGTGAGATCAGAACCTTTACACTTGTCACTACAGCCCTGCTCTCGGAGAAAATTTCCACATGGGCCTAATTACAACAAGGCTTTTGCTTTTCTGATGCGAGTAAATCATTGAGTTCTAACGGGTTGAGCCCCTTCACCCCCAACTTCATTTCATTTTTCCTTTTAAAACTCTGGTCTTCTGAGCTGATAAACCAATCCATCAACCCAATGAGAAGGCCAGGATGTCTGCCTGTTTTTTAAACTTTGAAAAATCATTTATTTTCAGAAGCCCAACGTTAGTGAAAAACATACCCACCAGCTTAGGCTATGGAGCAGCTCTTAATGCAAGCTTGCAGGTAAAAAATACTAAATTATTCTTTCTTTGCACACGCTGATTATGTTCTTACATGTGACATATTTAGTTTCCTATTATACTTTGGTATAGAGTTACCTATATTTATGTTTATGTGGACCTGATGGTCATTCTAAATAGTTGGGTTTATCATCCAAGTAAGTTGTATTACCTAGTACTGCAAGAAGTACTAGTTCTTATTATGCTACTTTTGATGTGAAGAAGCAAGAAGGACACCCTGTGGCAAAATCTGGAACACTCAGTTTTGCTGCAAATGTTAGATTGATAGAAGCTTTTGCAAATGCATGTGGATATGCATTAATATTTATCCAAGCTGTCATAAATGATTTCACATCATAGTGTTGGGGAACATGGTGCTCATGGCAAAAACTTTAAAGTTTAATTATAATATATAATTTTTATGCAGAAGAGGCAAATGTCAGGACTTTTTTATTTTGAGTTAAGTTCTGGTCATTTTTTAAAGTATAGCAGCTGCCTGCATTATAAAGGAGCCATACATTGTGTGGAAGGGCATAGGGGTTAAATGTAATTCAAAGTCAAAAAATGATGTAAAACTAGGAAGTGCTATGAATATCGGAACATAGTTAATAATGGAAAATAATGAAACCTATGTAAGAGAAATAGTAAACCAGAAATAGAGATGCTGTTATATTCAGAATGTGAAAATAATTGGAAACGCACAAAATCCTTCTGACCACCTCTACAACTACCCAAAATAAGCTGCTCTGTGTGTGTACATTCATACGTATGTGAGCATTTAGAAGTGATGTGTGTACGTATGGACTAATGATTTTATTTTTACTCTTCATTTTGCTAGGCTGCGCTGGCAGAGAGTAGTTTACCATTGCTCAGTAACCCAGGATTGATAAATAACGCATCCAGTGGCTTACTGCAGGCAGTCCATGAAGATCTCAATGGTTCACTGGATCACATTGACAGTAATGGAAATAGCAGTCCGGGCTGCTCTCCTCAGCCTCACATGTAAGTGCAGTTAGCATCCTTTCAAGAAAAAATGCCTTAGTCTAAGGCACAATATTACTCAAAAGTACTTTGAAACATGGTAAGTGAAACATCTGGAACTATATGTTTGAAACGAAACATTTATATTAAAACATTTAAATAGATGAGTCTTCATTTACTTTGTAGTAAGGTTGGTGTAAGCTTTTTTTTTTTCTTTCTTAAAAACTCTTCAACTTGCTTGCAAGCATTGAATGTAATGGGAGGCTGATCTCTGTGGTCATTTTCACAGCCTGGTTTGTAAGGTATAGTCAGAATGTTCATGTTGGAATTACTTGTAATTTTAACTATGAGTCTCTAAACCATTTATGAACTGTAGTGGAGATATTGCCCATTTATGTAAACCGTAAAATGCAAAGTTTAACTGTTGCCCACAGTTTACATAGAAGCCAGTAAAGTGAAACTTTTTGCCTGTCGTATAAATCAGTGTAATTACATATTCAAGTTTAATTACTGGTGCGTCTGTATTGGCAAGGTTTATATGTTATATTTTATGCAAGACTACGATTCCTATTAATATTTAGCAGCTAACTATATCATTAATTACTCTAAAATCTTTCCCCTACCATCTTTTTAATGGAGCTGAGAGAGTGGAAGTATTAAAAATTGATGTATTGTGGATTTCAGAAATGTGTCTGAAGCTTTAGAAATGCCTGGCCTTAATCAGTGGTGTCAAATGTGGCAGTTTCTTGTTTAGTAAATAGTAAAACATGTATCTTGGAGGTATTGTTTCCCAGGTTATTTATATAATAATTAGCAGTGTGATATCTAAGTAGACTTAGATTTAAGTTTACTGTAGGATGATTTTTAATGTGTATGTACAATTATGGTCTCTTTTTTTCTGTGTTTCAGATAGCTGAACTGATTTGCCTTTTTTCGTTCCATTTTCTCTGTCACATTTTTAATGTTCACTTTAATTTCTAGAGTGGGATATTTAGCAGTAACACTGAGACCAAACTCCCTTTTTACTTATGCTCTGGTTGTGAGGAATCCATTTTGAGCCGACCTTTTTTAGGGGAAATATTTTACCAAGTTTTTCTTCTTTTGTTTGGCATGTTAATATATTTATGATCATGTAGAAATGTTTATTGTCACGCATTTAATTGTTTTATTGCACATTTGTTCTACTTGCCTTTGAAAATAATACACTGTGAACATTCATGTATTTTATCAGGTTCCAAACCATTACTTTTTCAAAATGGAAAAATTTGTCTTTTGGAAGTGTCTTTAGATGTATTAAATAATACAAAAGAAGTAATAAAACTTGAAGTAGAAAGAACATGAATATATGCTCTTGAGAGTAACACTACTCTAAAACAAGTAAAGTGAGCAATCAGACAAAAGTTTTTATATCCCATGCTTTATGCTATCAACCATGCAGTGGGTAGCTTGAGGCCTTTTACTTTTAGCAGTTCTCCTGAGTATGCTAATGCTCTCTTCCTGTATAAAATGCCAAGACAATAAAACTTTAAAGAGCAAACAAGAGTTAGATCATGTGTGTTAAAAACAGCTACTTTACAGAAAAGAATGACACTTGCTATTAAAGTTGTTTTGTAAGTGTTTGGCAGATCTGTTTACATATCCTGTGTACTGTCTGCCATTCTGCTGGATAAACTGAGATATCTGTGCATATGATTATGTAGATATGGCTACATTTATAGCTGTGTTTATAGCTAAAATACAGCATATTGTAGCAATTCTTGTCTATAAAAAAGGCAAATAACTTGAGTCAGGGTGTAACTCAAGATTCAGCCTTCCTCTCTCACTTCTATGATACGTTGTTTGTCAAAACTGGCAGTTTCGGGACTTGCCATGGTGACTCTTCTGAAACGTATGACTACGTGTTGCTCAGTTCTTGATAGATTGAAGCAACAGAACGTAAATGCCCTGAGATGATACCATTGGAGAAAGAGGTTATGCTCATTCATCCCTTGCACCAAATTTAGTGCAAGATTACTGGGCTTCTGTGAGACCATGAACTGTCAACCAAAAGGTACGGGCTATGACTAGATACCCGGTCACTTGTGAAATTTTTGCCTTTTCCTTGCCAAAGGAGCCAGGAATATGAAAAAGGGAATGAATGCAATCTGCAAGGAAAAGTGAAGGAAGGGAAAGGCTTGTGCAGGAGGCAGAGGACCAAGGAAGAAGAGAGGCCTCTTCCTTGCCTCTGTGACCATGTTGACCAGGGCCCCTCATTTTTGTTGAAGAGCATTACTTAAGAATGCTCATTAAGAAAATGAGAAAAGAACATAGGGAAAGCATGACATAAGTAAAATAAGTAAGGAATATGGCAAACAATGAAGAGAAATTCATAATTTTACATTACCTACACAGATTACGTAATCCTGGGGGGGGGGGTATGAAAAATAGTTAATACACTAGAAGAAAAATATTTTACTGCCACAAGCATCCACTTACTTGTAGCTTCCTGAGAAGGTTCACCCAGGAAGTCTGGGTGTTTCTCCCCTAGAGGAGTGTTTTTTGGGGGGTCATAATTACTGCACTCACCTATAAAGTAGGTGGCTCTGTTAATCTCGAAGTGGATTAAACCTCCCTCTCCTGATTCCCAGGAAAGTGTACTAGCCACGACACCAGGAATATGCTGAGCAATTACGTCTGCCATCTTGAAGCTGGCACGCAGACAGGAGCAATGGAGCATGGTATTAGGGAA